AAGGGCTGACTCTGGAGATTCGACAGGAGGAATCTGTGTGTCTTGACTCTAGTTAGTTCATGTGGTATAAATGACATGCTGTTGTCAAGTATGACATCTGGGTTCTTGGCTTTCTGTGTGGGTTAGATGGTAGAGTTGTTTATTCAAATGACAACATTTTGGCAAGGATGGTTTTTGGATGAGCTGCACAGAAGCTTCATAAAATTAGTTTCAGAAGACAGCCGTTCATCTATGTAGATATCCTAGCCAGACATTGAGTTATTTGTAGGGTACTTAGTTTGTCAGAGGGTGGGATTGTGAGCATTAACTGATTATAAGCTCAATAAGATTTAGAGATGAAGCCCTGGGAGATGATAACTACAAAACCATTTAGTGTAAAGGGAGAACTGAATTGGGATGAGTACTGAACCCTGTGGAACATCAGTGGATGTGGAGATGATTAGCATTATATGTAGCAGGTACTTTTCTTAATATGCTAGAAGAACAATGTGAGTACAGACCATGTGATTCAATTGCTTTGATTAAGACCATCTTTGTAAGTGTGCCATTTAAAAACCAGTTTTTATCAGTGAGGTAGTTCTTGTAGATGTCGCCTGAGATATAGTTGAACACAGTGCACCTTGTGTGATCCAGCAGTGGTTTGCTTCACATTAGACCTTTTATATTATTAATTTTATTTTTAAAGGGTCACGAAACACTAAAACACATTTTTTGAGCTGTTGACAGTCATATATGTGTCCTACACTGCTAAAAACACTTAGGACACATATATCTCACAAAAAAAGTGAAAATTGGTTGTTTTTGCGTTATTTCGAGCAAATTCGTACTTCCGGTTTGATATTTTGAAGCTGCGTCACGTCCATGAGATAATAGCGTGTATTCCAGTGTGTGGACTGAACGTCTGTACCAAGGCGTCCCGTATTACGTCTCTGAGTGCGTTGCATTCATTCATGAGTATGGCTTGGTTCAAACAAATCAGCGTGCTTTATTATGAATTAACTTCATTAATATGTATGCTAGCTTTCTTAGACTGTACCTGAAACAGTGTTCAGACAGCATAGAGACAACACACGCTGTGTTGCCAAAAGTTGTGGGAAAGGAATAAGAATTGTTTGGAGATACGGGTCGCCAGTGTTGCTTTCGTAATGTGAAGGTTTTGTTTTCATTTTCTTTCTATGTGAGCACTGCTAGACTCACGCGTGGATGTGTAGACATGACACGCGGCAGAAATGCGCTTGTAACATTTTTTACTGCTCGTCTCTTTTAAAAAAAGACGCAGCTCCAGTATGTGGTGATTATCCTTTCTACAGATTCGGTAAGTATATGCGATCAGCGCCCTTTCTTTGTTAATTCAGATGGCAAAGTTATAGTTGGTATGGTCAGCTGTACTCTTTCAGTGTTTAAAGACAGATATTAGTCAAAATGATTTCTAAGTTACTTAGTTTACAGTACGTTAATATCACTACAATATTTAAAGGTCCGCTGTAAATGCTGCTCTCTGAATGTAAACACGTGAACACTAAGCAAACTATTGCCGACCGTTGTGTTGAATTTTCGCCGCATTTTGTGACAGGATAGTCTATACACACATGGCTTTCTGACCTCCTGAGTGCATCTGAGTTACAGAGAAATGCAGAGGCTTTTTTCTCTATTATACGACGTGCTGTATCAAACATCCCACTGTCATTAAACACACTGTCTCCCCTGCGTGTGTGTTTGTTTGTACTCGGTCAGAAGCGCGTGCCCAAATGACAACTCCCATTTTTATTCAAACCCTGCCCATTTTTATTCAAACCCTGGCCATTTTTCCTCCCCCGACACTCCCACCCAAACAAAGCTAGACACACCCACTTTCCTGACTTTTTCCAAACTAGAGGTGTGAAAACATCCTGCTTAAACGGGGGGCTTCATGGCCCTTTAAAGGTGCCATATACTTCATTGGTTTAAATAAATTAAACTGTTCGCTGATGTCTACATAGTATATTTGCAGCTTCGGTAAATTCAAATAATCTCCAGAAACTGTTATTTAACCTCATTCATTACTTCATAAAATACTCCAAAATCAGAAGGTCCATGATTGACCATATATGGTTTGTGTCGTGAATATTAATAAGCTCCACTCCCATGCGACACTCTTACAGACACACGCACGCATGCACACACACATAACGTACTGTGAACACAGACAAATATAAACCCAATCAGAGTAATGTTAACCTATTTTGGGCACCAGATCTGTTTTATATAAAGTCTAAATTAAAATTAAACTTGACAAAATAGAGTGATAGAGATGTATTGCGTTGTGTTTTGAAGCTATATTGTCAATGAAAATTGTCAGGATGTTGTATTAACCTCTGCATGACAGTTGAGCTGAGTGATTCGACACAATTATGCAGTCTACATATGTTTATTGAAACATATGCATTAAAGTTCACAAAAACACCTTAAATTAACGAAATATGCAACTAAATATACTTTATGCCTCTTCGAAAGGAAGTTGTATAAATGTGCAATCCTTAAATCCTGTATTTTGCGCTCTGAAGCTATTTTGAACTTGACTTGGGCTGTTATTGCCCGGTAGCACAGTAATCAATCTAGGGCTTGCGTTTTAAAATAAAAGCTTACTTATTTAGTGAAATAAATGCCTAAAATAACTTAGGGAGGAAAATTATTATTGTTGTATCACTAGAAAACATTTAGCGTATCAAACTTATACTAAGGCATGCATATTAATGATTTCAGAGCTTTTTTTATGATCTCAGAGTTGCATATGAGTTGTGTTCTCCTGATGACGTGACTGATTGTCAGGTCTGGATGAATGACCTAAAGTAGGCATACATACAAAAGCAGAGGGCATGGCCTGTGAGTCACATCAGTTTGTTTTTTCTTCTGATTGCCCCATTGTCCATGGTTTAACACATGTGGAATTTATATGAGCACAAGGAAATTGTGGTGTCTGAGGCTCACAGTCAGCCCATTTCCATATACTGATTTTTCATTAATCTACTATGCCTTCGTATACCCAGATTTTCATTATACTTTAGGGTACCGTTAAAAACAAGCCTGTCATTTCTGTCACAATCTACTAGCTAGGAACTACTGCTGTTCACTGCAAAGTAAGGGCATTAAAGATCCCCATAACCTGTTGGATGTTCATGACTGCAAACCAGTGTGAAGATGACCCTAGGTTAAGGAGGTCAGGAGATGCTGGAAGTGAAAAATAGGACAGTAAGATGGAGAAGAGCAAGGGTTGAAGAGAGTGTCAAATGTAAGTGGAAGGAATCTAGCACCTAGTAGACGGTTTAAACTGGAGTTTTTTATTGGAGTAGAAATTATCTGGGAGCTGGTTTGGGACTTGTGAAGCTGTGCATTGATGGAATTGCTTTTCAGTGCTTGGACTTTCAGCAGTGAAAATTAAACCACACTGAACTTAACTGAACTTAAACTCTGAAAACTGGACTGACGCAGTTTCAGTTTACTAGTGGCCCGTTTCCACTGAGTGGTACGGTTCGGTTTGGTATGCTTTTATGGCCGTTTCCACTGTCAAAAGGCGTACTGAACCAAACTGTACCATACCACTTTTTTGGCACCCTTTCGAAAGGGTCCCAAACACAAGAAAGGTTACCAAAAGGCGGAGCTAGACGCGCAGCTGAACACTATTGGTTTACAGAGATACGTCATTCGCTTACGCAACAAGCCAGAATGTAAACAATGGACCCGCCATGTTTGAAATACAAAGCGAGAGATTATTTGCGTTTGCCGCGCGTCTTTATCTAAAATAACTAACTTCTTGAGCTGATGGTAATAACGTGCGCTTGATTATTGACAAGCTTTGGAAACCCGATCCTGTGAGAAGCTAACAAACACGAGAATGACACGTTCAGAAAGAAAAGGACAAACGCGAGAGTGGAGCGCGGAAAAAAATGGAAAACAAAGGAGCACGTTATTTCTTCAGCAAACGTGAACAAACTGCCTTGTTTTAATTTTTATCATCACCTTTTGGACTAATTTGAACTGGGAATGATGGAGTGACTCTCTAACAGAGGCTTCATGTGCTGCTGAAGATTACAGACAGATGAGAGGTCTTCACTGACTGTAGGCTATACCTTGTGTTGTTTTGAACCTAATTAAGGACGAAATGTCTGCTGTGTGTAGTTTTTCTGTAGTTGGTAACATATCGAGGACTGTAAGTGTCCGTATGTGTTCATATATGTTCCTTTATTTATTTATTTATTTATTTAAAATAATTACAGATGTTACAGTAGGCTATTTCACACTGTCATTGATCTGCAGTTATAATCAAATCATGTTAATAGAAAAGTTGGTAATAAACATTTATACACAAGTATTTGTGTGTAAAGCGTCTGTTTTGTGAGAAGTGCTTTTCATATGATATGTGAGCAGCCTGTGCAGCTTTATTGTAGATATTTTCTCAAGCGAGCATGACGTCGACTGAAACTTTGTCATACACCACACCCACCAAAAGGGTACCCTTGCTAGTGGAACACAAGCCTGATAAAGGTGCCCCGTACCGACCCGAACCGTACCGTACTGTACCAGTCAGTGGAAACAAGCCATAGAACTTCATGTTTAGCTACTTTGTCACAATCTACATTGTAAAAGCGCTATATAATAAACATGAATTGAATTGAATTTAATTGAATCCACGGGTACTGTTATCAGGAAGTACCTTGGAAGGAGTAGAAGAAACCTGGTGGGTTAAGCAGCAAGCAGAAGATACAAAACTGCTTCCTGGGGTTTGAACCTTGGCTTTGTAGATTCTTCTTGAAGATTATGGGAAATTTGGGTCTCCAAAACATCATCTTATGCTGTTTGCAAGCAGGCTTAGGAAGATATTCAAATCTTCTATGAGTTTTCTGGGAGTTCAGGTTCAGTGTCAAGTCAAGATGAATGCATGCAGTTATTCTCACTACATTAAGTTCACGTTAATCTTGTTTGATTTCAGTTATTTATTTATTTATTTTTTATTTTATTTTAAGATGGAGGCAGCCAAAGAGGAAAAGTGTGAATTCCTGCCCTTCTTGTCACCTCATGAGGTAATGAAGAAAAATGGACGTGTCTCAGGCCTGCGCTTCTGCCGCACAGAGCAGCAGGAGGATGGCACCTGGATTGTGGACGAAGAGCAAATTGTCCACCTGAAAGCAGATTTCATCATCAGTGCCTTTGGCTCCATGCTGAATGATCCAGCAGGTAAGGTCAGGGCTGAGTCTGAAGGTATTAAAGAACACGTTGTTGTAGTTGGAATGAGTTTACCTTTTACTCTTTTACATTTTTCTAAGCTAAATATATTGCATGTAATAATAACAATGGGATTTCCCAAACTGATTTCCCAGCTGTTTAGCAAGCAGTGTAGAAGTACCAACATGATTCCATGTACACATTATTTTGTACTTGTGTTTGAGACGGGATTTTAAAAGAGCACGTGTTTGTTCACCTGTGGTCCATGTGAAAGATTTCCCCAGCGAACCATCACAGACTCCAGACTGTTCCCTTGTCAATAAGCATTCAGCACTGCCCTACTTATCTTTCCTTAGCAGATTTTAGTAGCCACAGTCCGATAACCATCACTCTGAGAGAGAGGCAGGAGATGATAAGACCCTCAAAACGAGAGCCTGGTTTCATTATGGGAATCCTTTATCAATCCAGCATCACAAATACAATCTCATTTCAGCAGATTAGCCAAAAACATCAAGCACACATTCACATATTATGTCTGGATCACACATTCTTGAGTATTTATTTCCATTATTACAGTCATAAAAGATGAGGTTTTTATATTTATAATACCAAGACATTTTGAAAATCATGGTAATGCAAAATTCAGACTTGTGTAACCCACCATATATTATTTGTTTATTTGTCAGCACACATTTATCTGGATATGTTTCACCTCCTCATGTTTTTTTTCTTCTTTACTTAGCGTTTTGTTGTCCCAGTGTTGTTGCTCTCTAGCAGACCTGTCATCCATCCTAAACACTGTAATGTCTCTGAGCGGAGAGTCGTTTCATCACCAGCTTGAAGCTCAGAGATAGCAAGCTTATAAATGCCACTCACTCCCCGCACCTTGCCCAAGATATGAATTACTTATCCACTCCAATGGCCAGCGGAGCCGACAGAAGAGGGCTGCGTTGCCGCGTTAGAGAAGAGAAAAGCTGAGATAGCGAGAAATTCTCCCCCTGCAATCTTGGGTGGGCAGGCTGCTCGGTGATTAGATCACCACTGGCCAGCGGGATGAGCAGCTGACTGGCTACTTTTACCAGCATGAGGATCCTTTGCTGGACTCCATGAAGCATGACTGGGTCTGCCTTCAGACCCCTACACCTAAGAGCAAAGCAACGTTAAGACATTTTTGCAATTAACGGGTAAAGTAGTTCACAAAAAATATATATATATATATATATATATATATATATATATATATATATATATATATATATATATATATATATATATATATATATATATATATATATATATATATATATATATATATATATATAATAAAATAAAAGTAATAATAATAATAATAATAATAATAATAATAATAATAATAATAATTCAGAATTAAATTTGTGACCCCTTATGTTGTTCCAAATATGCTGTTTTTTCTGTTTCTGGAGCATCATAGCTGATTCAAGATTCTGCATTTTTTATTTTTTTATTTTTGCAGTATTAAACACTGATCACTTGAAAAGCAAGACAATAAATTAAACACCAATTAACTATAAACAGAAACACTACACATTGTACAAAATGCAGGCTCCCAAACATTTCATTCATGTTGTCCCAACACAAATCAATTAATTTTAATAGAGTGAACATAAAGCAATAAATTTGTTTAAAAAAAATCTCAAGAATTGTGTTGTTTCAGCTAATTTTAGATAAGTATCAAACAGCAAAATATTTTTGAGTGCACCTAAGGGGGTGTTAGTAAGATTGAAATTGGTTAATTATGAGTAGCCATATTTGGTGCCTTCATTGACATTGATTACAGTATAATTGTATAAAATTATAGAGTATAAAATTATTTAAACGTATAAAATGTGTTTATTTTATTTGTTCACTAGCCTTATAATAATCCCCAGTAACACTTAGGTTTTGCCGTGAATTTTTCAATAAGCGCCCTTTAAAGGGTTAAATGAAATGAATTTAATTTGTAGTAAACTGTAGTTGAGGAAAAAAATAAATAAATAACAAGAACTATAACTAATGTGACTGGGACGCTGACAGCATGGTGCGAATCCAAATGCAGGATTATTCAACAGAATGGTCAGGCAAGCAACAGTCAACACAGGCAAACAGATGTATACAGGCATATCCAGAGACGTGGTCATAAACAGGCGGATGATCAAAGGCAGGCAGCAGATAACGTAAAACAAATAAAGCAAAGATCAGTACATTGCAAGACAATGCACGGGAAGCACGTCGTCATGTTCACTAACAGTATAACAAGATTCAGCAACTTGCGTGTTTGTCTGTGCTGTGTTTAAAGTCCATGTCCTCATTTCTGAACAGCTTTTAGCTGTGTTTGTTAGCAGTCAGCCAGGATTAGGAACCAGTGTGTGTGTGCAGTGCATGATTGTGTCTTGTAGTCCATAAAATGGCACATTTGTAGTTCTATGCAATCTGGATGTTTATCAGCGGTCTGTAAATATTAAATTGCTGGTAATTGTAACAATAACAGTATTCAACAGTTTTAACATTTAAAATGAGAAGTTTGTTCTACTGAAAAACGTGGTCAGAAAAAATACTCATGACTGTTATAATGGCCTCATGACAAGCAATGTCATAACCAACTACATGATGACTGCAAAATAAAGGTAGATAATTATTCCACACAACGTTAGTCGTGTTTATGAAAGATTTATGACAGGTTAATTTATCTTGGTAATGTCAAGCTGCCTTAACAAAGAAATCCTGAACAAATTCATCTTTACATTTAAAATTAAACTTAATGGCATCCATAAAACCTCCTTCATATTAATGCCGTGTATTATCATGATTATGAAGGTGTCAAGTCAGTCTTATGAACACCCCCGTCAAGTAAAGTGTTATTTCATAAACTTAAAAAGCTGAAGGCTAGAGTTGCCAAGACTATTTATAAAAAGTGACTTTGGGCATTTATTCATTCATTTCGGCTTTAGTCCCTTTATTAATCCGCCAACTTATTCAGCATGTGTTTTATGCAGCGCATCCCCTTCCAGCTGCAACTTATCACTGGGAAACACCCATACACTCTCATTCTAACACAATCGCGTCGCGTGGGTTTTTCCCCAGGTCCTCTGATTTTCCACAGTTCAAAAACAAGCACTCTAAACAATTAATCCAAATACTTTAGCTAAACTCTGAGTACACCTTTCAGCATTCGTATCTGACACTTCAACAAGAAAGAGGGGAGTCATCAAGATCTACCTGAGCTCAAACTCCCCTCTCGCCTTGCAACGGGAGGGAGCCCAGGGCTCGAGGATCTTATAAGCTCAGGGCTCTCTCCCGGGACAGCACGCCAAACTAGCTTTATTATCAATCATCAGCTAAGTGTGAACTCTTGAAGGTCAATTTAGCTTACCCAATTCACCAATAGCACATGTCTTTTAATTTGTGGGGGAAACCAGAGCACCCAGAAGAAACCCACACAAACACAGGGAGAACACGCAAAATCTACACAGAAATGTCAACTGACCCAGCCTAGGCTGGAACCAGCAACCTTCTTGCTGTGAGGTGACAGCACTACCCGCTATGCCTCCACACCACCTCTAATAATTTAATATTTTTTTAATTGTTTCTAAAGTTTAAGACTGCTAACTTATAATGTTGCCTTTTCTTTTCGGAATAAGAAATATTAAGTTGCAAATGAAAAAATACCCTGAAAAAACTACTCTTTTGAAACGCATGCTGCTGTGACCATTTATTAGTTTAGCCATAAAAAAGAGACTTCATTGTGAGCTACAGTGAATATTTTAACTTCATTGACACATTGACAAGCTGCAATGCAACCAGCACTGTGAGATCAGATGAGAAGTGGATTATTTCAGGAACCACAAATGTCCATGCAATCTTATTAGTTTAAATCCAAATACATCTGAATTATTTACCAGAACTGATACTGGCAATAGTGAAAACATTAGCTAGAATTCAACAATGATCCAGTTACTTAGAGGGATAGTTCACCCACAAAAAAAAAAAAAAATTCCTTCACTTGATCAAAACCTTTTGGTGTTTCATTCTACTGTTGAACACAAAAGAATGTATTTTGAAAAATTCTGGTTGCTGGGCTGTATTGTCTTCAATAGTATTTTTTTTTCTTCTATTGAAGTTGATAGGCTTCAACATCCAGCATTTTTCAAAATATCTTCTTTTGTCTCCAACAGAACAAAGAAACTCAAATAGGTTTGAAACAGGTGAAAGTAAATAAGGACAGAGTTTATTTCTGGGTAAAGTTTCCCTTTAACATGTTAATTTCATATTGAGTTTTGGCAGAACACATGTATTAATTATATTTATTAATGTATTATTTATTAAATGTATTAATTAAATCTATGCATTGTTTTAAAGGTAATTTAAACTCAACCAAAGCTACTGTCAAATTACCACATTTCAGAGACAAGTTTATTTGATATTATTAAAGGGCACCTATGATGAAAATAATCTTTTGGGAGTTGTTTGGACAGAATTGTGTGTATGTATAGTTTGTCTACAGTTATGTTTGGGTGATTTTAAACACAATAAGTCTCTTTTTTTTTAATTCCTGGTGTTAAAATAGGATCCAAATCCCTCCCATTTTAAGGCCCACTGCCATGTGACGTAGGAGTGCGGTTTTCCTGCCCACCGAATTGACTGACAGCTACATATTAACATGTCTCCATAGTAACATGTATAATCATATCCACAAGACAGGACGTGCACAAAGCAACTGCGATTAAAAGATCTGTTTAGCTCACTGTGATCAAGTATGAGTTTTACAAGTTTAAAATGTTTTTTTAAATCAGTGCATGTTCATGAATTACAGTGATTTTATAGATATCCATACAGCAGAGGATAGTAACATGTATCCTGTCTCATTTGCCATCTAAAAACAGTACAAAGTTAAGTGTGTGTGTGTGTGTGTGTGTGTGTGTGTGTGTGTGTGTGTGTGTGTGTGTGTGTGTGTGTGTGTGTGTGTGTGTGTGTGTGTGTGTGTGTGTGGATGTGTG